ATGGAATTACATATTTTTAAAGGGTGCATTTCATGATATGTGAATTATATCTTAATCAAATCATTAAGAACACACAGACAAGTATTTGGGATTCTCATTGATGCTTTATGTGCAAGAAAGGCTGATTTTCTCTGAGGAGAAACATTCAGAGAGTTTGAGTTGACAGTGGCTCCAGGGCAGTGAGCTGTCTGAGCATTCTTGCTGCTCCTGGGCTCTGCAGAGAAGAGACCCAGCTCTGCAAACAGGAGATACTTTAAAACTATAACTTTAAACCTATAAAGGGGTAGTGAGTTTAAACTGAGATTTCAGGCCACATTTCCAACTTTTACTTTCACTGTTTTGTTAATTAAACAATAAGTTCATTTTGAGAGATGCCATTTTTATACAGTGTCCGTGTTTACAGAGGCAGGCAGTTTAACGTGGCAGTTGGATCTCAGACTTTGTTTACTCAAATAGACCTAGGTTCAAGTCTCAGGTTTGCCACCTCCTAAATATGGAACCTAACCAGATAGATGAAGCTCCTGAGCCTCTGCCCTGTCATTTGTAAAACTGAATAATAACATCTACTTCATACTAATAGTTAAAATGATTGAAATAAATAAGAAAACAAAGGGGCCTTGTGGAGTGGGGGGCGGCGAGCAGGATTTTTTTTTTTTTTTTTTTTTTTTTTTTGGATCTGCTTAAACTACCCTTAGGTGATCTTCATGAGGCTGTGAAACATGTTAGCTCTATTAACAAATATACCATTTAGTACGACCTAGTACGCTATGTGCTAGCCCCTCTCCTCAGTCTTTAATAAATAATACACTCACTTATTTTCACAGCAACCTTATCAATTAGACATTATTTCTAATGATCTCTTTTACAGGTTAAAAACACGAAGACATGGTGTGGTTGAGACAGTTTGCATAAGTGGAACTTCAAATTGAGATACTGAGGAGCTCAGCAAAATCTCTTAATAAAAAAACAACTATGACATTGGACGATGTGGTAAAAAGCAAGCATTTCAGTGATCTGGCAATTGGCCAAAGACATAGTAAGTTGGTGAACGTTTATTCATGGAAAAACTATAAAACCTCAGGTAACAATGGTGGGACAAAGCTGTGAAGCATTCATGCTTTAGTAGTTGTTGATCCCAAAAAAGAAGAAAAGGAGAGAGAGAGAGAGAGAGAGAGAGAGAGAGAGAGAGAGAGAGAGAGCTCTTATTCCTCTCGTCTCTGTGGAATGTATGATATTGCTCTCAAAGCCCTGATGTATCGGGTGACTTGGCAGCGTTATGCAATAAGTAAAGTGGTAGATCTGGGATTTAAACAGCTTGCAGTAGACTGCATTATCATCCTTAATGCTTCACTTCCTACCGTTTATGAAAATATACCTTTGCATCCTTGGCCATGCAGTAATGCACACCCTCCCTCTCTGATGAAATATACTAGCCCTCCTGTAGACTTTGGGCTTGGGTATATCACCTGCTCGGCCCAGTGAAATGTTAGCAGATGGGACGAGAGCAGAGGGCTTCAATATACTTGCCAGGCTTTGCCTGCACAGCTATCATTCACCACCAGAGGAACATGCCCCAGGTAGGTGCTGCCCCCAGAGCACCAACTGGCCTTTAAAATGGAGAAGGTCAAATAGCATATGTTCATAGTATTTTCATCTAAAATGTCACCTTCTCTGTGCCAGGTAACAAGGACCTTTACCTCCTTTCTATCTCTGCTCAGTCTCTCCCATGTCCAAGCTCCACTTCTTCAAGACTCACCTGCTCTTTTGTTTTCATAGGTGTCTAGTCTTTCATATCAGAGATCAAGACCAGATTAAAATATGGCCAGTCTCATTGTTGAGACTCCGAATATTCATGAAAACTATAAATGATGTAAGAAGGTAGGGATAGGGATCCGTGTCAAATCTCCTTTCATGAAATTACTGAATATAATTTATATAGATGTGTGTTTAGATATTCTCATATATTAAAATAATATACACTATAATCATGCACTATATATTACATTATACTGATTTTGCATTATCTACAAAGCTTGTTTTGTACAGTCCTGTATTGTATATCAATACATACATACATATATGGATATGGATATAATACATATATCTCCAGTCAGACCTACCAAGAATAAGGTTTCTAATTAACCTCTGGATTGGCTATTGTTGTTTTTGAGCGAGAACTCAAACTCAAGGACACAGCTGACTTGTTCAGAGCAAATAAAGTTACTCTGAACAAGTATTTCCTTGTTGTCTCTCCCCATCTGAAATACTCTACTTCTTTTCTAAATAAAGGTGAATAATATTTAAAAAGAAATAAAAGCTATAAGAATTACCAAATGTCAGCCAATCCTATACCCCCACATATCTTGGTTCAGCCCCCATCATATTATAGAAGTTTCTTGTTTTCTGTTCAAAGAAAATTTCAATCAGTGGTAATGTAATGCTATAAAGAGTTGATCCAAAGATAAAGAAATGGTGTGGGAGGATTTAGAAGGAAATTCTGGAGACTGTTTTAGCTCAAACCAATGCTTTTATAATAAAAACGAAAATAATATTCTTTTACTACTAGTTCTCTACTGGAGCTCTGCAGAGGCAAGGTTTTATTTTCTTTTAAAATTTGCATAATTCTTAGATGGCAGTGACACAAACCTCATATTTGAAGATCATCTTAAAAGTCATGCCAATCAACTTATTTAAAATTAAAAACAGTTATCAGTAACATGAGAGTTTTAATCATGTATAGTTTTTAGAAAACGTATTTTCCTGTGACAATGAGGTTTGGTCTTATGCAAAAACAATTTAATCTTCTCCCACATAAGAAAAGGTCTAAGTTTTGGAGGATCCTGATCTAGGTAAGGCTGTGACATCCTTCCTCCTGGAGAATGGTGCCCTGGGGCCATCTCCCAAACTGCAGTCACTGGGGGCACCTGTGTGCTTTCTTTCCCCACAAGCTCTCTCGTACATATGGTTCTCAGGGCATACAGGATACTCACCTGCAGATCAGATCTTCAACCCTTCCCACCTCTGCCCAGAATCCCAGGGAACTGCAGTATCCGTGACTCCTTGCCAGCTGGCTTCAGGCTCACTTTAGCCAGTGAGAGGCACTGCTGGGAGACTGGGAGGTGGGAGGAAGGAAGAGACCAGGGTGTTTCTTCCTTTTGCTCCATTCCCCAGGCTAGATTTTCAGCACTGGCTGAATCTCCTCAGGCTCCAGCTCCCACTGGGAATCTGAGTTTTATTTTATTTGTTATTATTATTTTTTTTTTGAGATGGAGTCTTGCTCTGTCACCCAGGCTGGAGTGCACTGGCTTAATCTCGGCTCACTGCAACCTCTGCCACCCAGGGTTGAAGCAATTCTCCTGCCTCTGCCTCCTGAGTAGCTGGGATTACAGGCACGCACCACCACGCCCAGCTAATTTTTGTATTCTTAGTAGAGACAGGATTTTACCATGTTGGCCAGGTTGGTTTTGAACTCCTGATTTCAAGTGATCTGTCCACTTCAGCCTCCCAAAGTGCTGGGATTACAGGCACGAGCCACTGAGTCTGGCCAAATCTGGGTTTTAGCAACATCATTTTCTTGCTTTGTCCCTCCAGCCAGGCAATGTGCAAGAAACTAGGAAGAAAACAGTGAGAAGTATAGATCGCACCCTATCCATGTGGAGTCTACAGTCTAGTAGATAAATTTCATAATGTTTAACACAAAATGACAGTAGATATTCAACTCGAATGGTACCTGTGATCATATAGTCATTTGGCATTAAAAGAAAAAAATGTGTTTTTCCTGCATCCTCCACTCCCAGCGAAGGGACTGGGAAGTCCAGTGCCCTCCCTAAGTTAGTTGCAAAATCATGATGAATTTATGTTTCCCTGGTTTCTTTGGTATCTGCATTTCAGATGTCATGTCTCTCCCATATCATATATCTAAAGACCCAGGTTGTCCTCTTACCTTTGGTCTGCCCAAGATGAGAACCCAGGACCATGTGTATCCTAATGGGATCCTACTCCAGTTGACATCAGCGAGGTAATACATCCTTTGTTGGTTCTCTTTCCTGTATCACTTTCCCACTTCTCTACTAGTGCCTTCTGGATTATCTCCTACATAAACCCCAAGAACTTGAAACCTTATCTCAGGATCTATTTCTGAGTGACGTCAAACTGAAACAAAATTCATCTCACACCTGGTGAAGTGGAGAGGAGCATCTTCCCACTACAGTCTCATACTGGAGGGGAAATTACAGTACAGAGAAAACGCTCTTGAAATTAATGCCTTTTTAATGTCCAATTTTCAGGGCTCTTCCATTTCAATCCTTTGATATCCTCAAGATTTACTGCATTACCAGTGGTCAGCACCCCACTTTGGAAAGGGGGAGTACTTGCCATCATTTTCTGAGTTCCGAAAGAATCCGCACATAACATCTCGTTATAGATATCAAGAATAATATAACAAATGGTGGTGCACATAAGGTAGAATTTGGAAATAAAACATTATGAATACTGCTCATGTCTCCTGGGTGCACTTCTCCAATTTTCTCCTCCCTTGCTTTCCCCTGATGTATCCACTGCCCTAAATTTTGTTTTAATCATCCTTAGGGCCTCCTTTAATAAGGAGTTTATTTGGCAAGAGAGCTTGAAGACATCATCTACAATACCATGTGCGATAATTCATAAAGCAGAGGTTTCACATTTAGACTCACAGTTATCAGATCTAATGAGTAATAGTGTTTCCAGTAGATACAATCTATTTCATTATATTTTACGTTATTAGGTCTAATACATTGTTTGCCAATAGGAGCACTGAAAACTTAAGACTTTAAAAGAAAGTTCCATATCAAATCTGTGAGATATTTACTCTAACATAGAAGTTCAGCATCCACTTTTATGTTGCCTCCTTGCAAACAATTTGTTTTTCATAATTAATGTTTACTTAAAATGTGACAAGGTGCTTGTTTCTGTCCATGGAAAGGTTCGCTTGAATACAAAGCAAATATTATTTTCTATAATTATAGGTTTTGATCATGTTAATTTATGTACATTATTTTCTAGTAAAACATTATTGTTGGCAGCACATTTCATAGGGGAAAAGAACTAAAGATATTTTATGGGGACAGTCAGTGCTTAGAGAAGTAATTGAAATGTGTGATGAAGTCAAAGAATGCCACAAGGATAATTCACAATCCTTAGTTCAGCAAAAATATCAGCTTATGTTCAGTGGTGGTTATTGGCATGTAACTTGCAAAAAAATAACGTTTGGGGAGAAATCATACACTTATTTGGTAAATACAGGCAGGTAAATTGGAAACTCTGTGAAATATCTAAGTTCATACGTTTTGGGTGTGCCTTGAAAATAAATGGGATGCGTTGACTTCTGTTCTTTCTTCCCAACTCGCCCAGGAGTCTGGGTGGTAAGGGATCACCTGGGGATGTGTCTCGTGCTGGAGAAGGTGGCATCTCTCATTCTACGCAGGGACATTGAACATCTTTGAAGGGAAGTGGAAACATCTTCAAAGTACCTGTGTATCAAAGAAAAAACATTTACTTAAATCTCAGAGAATGTAACAAACCCTTCATTTAGAAAATACCTGACACTAAAACTAATATTCCACCTTAGAAAATAGAACATTGCCTTTTAACATTTTGTTTAGAGAAATGCTGAACAGGAACTGAGATCTATAGAGTTTCAGGAGAAATTGTTTTAATGCTTCAATCACTACATCAAACAGTGTTTCATGTTCACAAGTTAAGATATATACTCTGACCAATTAATTGTTTAGACCTGAAAAACACTATCCTTTTAAAAACACATAAAAACATTATCACCATTCAGCAGTCAATTTTTGAACTATCTGTCAAACCTGCTGTGGCCAACATTTATTTTGAAATAGCATCCAACCAAATAGGAGGTACAGTCCCCTCTCTAATTAAAACGGAGCACACTAAATATTTTGATTTTTGAAGTGAATGATATTACAGGGTTCAGTGCAATAACTGTGTGGCTGAGACCAGCACTATCCATCAGGTCTGAGGGTTATCTTGAGCTGTGCTCCTGGCAGGTGTCTGCCGGGCATCTCTGAGCCACAGGGCTGGGCGGTTCCACCTCCACCTGCCGCTTGGATTGTGGGATCTTCAGGTCAGGGCTGCTGAATTGGGGATAGAGTGTGGCCACTCTGCCTGCCCAGTGACCTCTCCTTGTCGGCTGCCATTCACTGACGTGTGCAGGCAGAGGGCCGCCTTTCTTCCCAGCATCCTCTCTACCTGATGGAGGGGTTGGGGCTCCTTCTTCATCTCCTGATGGAGAAGAAAGGTTTTGTTCAAGGGAAGATGAGGCTACTGGGGGTCTGGGCTTCTGTGCATGGACTCCCCTGTGCTTGTAGGTGGTTACACACCTGGAATTCTATTTGGATGAACAAATGCTGAACATGTTCAGTTTCACTCCACTTCCCCAGCACCAACATCCCCATCTTTCACATGCAATTTCCATCCCAGCGTCAGCAGCTTACTCATGGATCAGGCCATCAGAGGTGAGTGAAGGCCCAGATGATTCTATTTCTTGACCCGACAAGCTGTTTTTTTTTTTTAATGGTGAAATGCTAATATAGGATTACAGAAACTGTTGTGTATTTCAAATGCTTACATTCTCTAAATTAATACTTTAAATAGATGAATGTATGTGTACGTACTTGTGCTAGCAGCATATAATTATACCACTTAACACACAGTGACTCACAGGGCACTGCAGATTTTGTCGCCAGGTTCTATGTGTGTGTTTTAAGGTTGGTTTATGGCTGCCGGCTGTCTTTTTTCCATCCTTCTGGGGACACAGATAATGCTGTGAGTTGTCTTCAAGATCCTTCTGGAATGACAGATGCCACTTCAAGTGGCCCTCCTGGCACCTACCCGCAGTTTCTGCTCTGGGGAATGGACCATTCGAATTCTCTCTACCTTGGTGAGGAGCACAGCTTCTGAGGCAGAGGGAACTGGATTTCATTCTGGCAGCTGCTGCGTACTGGTTATGCGACCTCAGACAAATCAATTTTTCTCTTTTTCTCATTTGTAAAATAGGTATAACAATAATCTAGGCTTCTGGGCATGAACTCTTCTGTGCTTGTAGATGTTTATACATCCAGGTATACATCTAATTTATTCAGTCCAATAACTATTAAAGTAGATGTGTAATAACTACATCTATTTCAATAATAATAGGTGTTATACATCTATTTTAATAATTGCGGGATGGAATAAATTAGATAATGCATATTAAACAATTAGCACAATATCTGGTATTTAATTGTTGCTCAATTATTATTATATTATTAAAATTAGCACATTAATAATATTCAAATAATAATAGTAATTATTCTAAGTACGTTATAAGTATTTTACATTTATATACTATATATTTACAAGTGTTCATTTATATGTATACACATTATATATTTATTATATAGATATATATAAACATACAAATATACTACGACTTTCTGAAGATCAAGAACTAATCTACCAAAATTCTCAGTAGAGTACTATGCATGAAGATAGAGTCTGGAGAGTATTTGTATCAAGGCCTTGGTTAATTTAAGAAAAGAACATGGATACTCTTTTTCTAAAGCATAAATCCTGTTTTAAAAACAGTTGATTCAATACCATAAAGATGATATCTATATATTTTTAGCATATTTTCACTTCAAATTAAAGGTAAAGATTCATTATAATCAACTGAATAACAAAAATAAATATTAGGCCAGGCATGGTGGCTCACGCCTGTAATCTCAGCACTTTGGGAGGCCGAGGCAGGCAAATCATTTGAAGTCAGGAGTTTAAGACCAGCTTAGCCAACATGGCAAAACCCTGTCTCTACTAAAAGCAGAAAAATTAGCCAGGCAAGATGGCTCAAGGCTGTAATTCCAGCTACTCGGGAGGTTGAGAGAGGAGAATTGCTTGAACCCAGGAGACAGAGGTTGCAGTGAGCTGAGATTATGCCACTGCACTCCAGCCTGGGTGACAGAGGAAGACTCCATCTCAAAAAAAAAAAAAAAACTCAATCATGAAAATGTAATGCCAGCAGGCTTTTCTTTTTCTTTTCGTAGGGATCTGAAGCCAATTTGTCAAACTATACATTTGGCAAATTTAATGTTATCCTCCATCCACTGATCTGTGTTTTAATATCTCAAAATGTGTAAAGCTAATGTAATGATTGCTGATTTGAACCAGGACTTAGTTTGCGGCAGTGCATCTCCAATCTCATGTGCAAGCATGGCATGGCCTTCGTAAAACATTGTCCTTTAAGATAACCTTATGCCCTGTAATTTAGTTGTGGGCCATCACGGTCATCATAACTGGGCAGCTTTTAGTTTAGAGTTCCAAGATTGAGACAGGAAAACACGGGACAGATGATGTGAAGAGAGGTGTGTGTTTTCCCATGAATTATCACAGATCAATGAGATAGGGTGCATTTGCCAATGCAAAGGACTCTGATCTTTTGGAAGTCACGTCCCAGTTGATGACGTAAATGTTGCTGATTCATTCCTCGATGTGTTCACATACAGTGGGATGTCAAAATATCTCCATGCTGACGATGTCCCAAGGCCAGTAATAAAGCAAGGGTTGCCAAGGAGTAGTCATCTCTTCCTGGCAGGATCCTCAGGACCCCCTGCCAGGACCTGCCAAGAGAAGATGAGCGGGTTCTTAGTGTTACTGGAAAGGGGTCTGGATCCAGACCCCAAGAGAAGCTTCTTGGATCTCATGCAAGAAAGAATTCAGGACAAGTTCATAAAGTGAAAGCAATTTTATTAAGAAAGTAAAGGAATAAAAGGATGGCTATTCCATAGACACAGTATCCCCAAGGGCTGCTGGTTGCCCATTTTTATGGTTATTTGTTGATAATTTAGTAAACAAGGTTTGGATTATTCATGCCTCCCCTTTTTAGACCATATAGGGTGACTTCCTGACATTGCCAGGGCGTTTGTAAACTGTCAAGGTGCTAGTGGGAGTGTAGCAGAGGATGACTAGAGGTCACTCTGTGGTCATCTTGGTTTTGGAAGGTTTCTGCTGGCTTCTTTACTGCAAACTGTTTTATCACAAGGTCTTTATGACCTGTATCTTGTGCTGACCTCCTATCTCATCCTGTGACTTAGAATGCCGTAACCGTCTGGAAATGCAGTCCAGTAGGTCTCAGCCTCCTTTTACTCACCCTCTGTTCAAGATAGAGTTGCTCTGGTTCAAATGCTTCTGACACTAGGATTGCCATCACCCACTGGACAGCCAAACGGAGACACACCAAGGGAGTAGGAAAAGGTTTTACAGCATCACTGAGAATCTGCTGGGCCCCTGGGTAAGGGCATGGCTAAGGAGGTGAGAAGGGCTGTCTGGCATCACCATCACTTGCATCCAGCCCATGTAAAGACCTGGGGTTGGAGGTGGGGGAGGTGGGTGGGGATTTCTTTTGATGGCATAGGCTGCATGACTTACAGTTTCCTGATCTTTCTCGGAGAATTGTTTTCCCTTCACTTAACGGCAAGTGAGAACGCAGAGGATATTGCACACATCACCAGACTCTGGGAAAAGTGAGGACAGGTATTTAATATGCTCCTGGGAAAGGTTGAAAGGTGAAAGCCACGTTTCTTTTGCCAACCTGATGGCAAGCTAGGAGTTCCAGCCATGTTGGTTTCCAGGTGTGTGTTTTCTGTGTCCTGTGGTGGGCCCCATGGTAGGGAGTTGGCCTGGGGCATCTAAAATTCACTTCATCCATGTGAACTGCGTGGGGGATGTTAAGACACCGTGACATTTAGAGTCTGCACAGGGAGGGCAGGGCAGTTCCGGAGACTGAGAGAGAAGAGTGGATGGCTGCAGAAGCAGGACCCATGGTGATGGACATGCATTGGAGGATGCTGGGGGAGGAACATCCAAGAACACTAATGCACCAATCAATGTAAAAGTCAGTAACGGTACCTCTGCCATTGGGTGTCCTGAGGCCCGATGGCAAATGTCACAGCTGTGAAACATGGTGTCCCTTCTCCAATCCATTCTTCTCCTGGGCCTGGCCCTGCAAGGATCAAAACAACTGGTGAATGAGAAGCAGGAGAAGAACAGCACGTGGGAAAAATAGAGAAAAAGCTGACCATGCTCTCTTCCGGCTTCAGGGTTCCAGGTCTCAGACAAGCATGTGGTGTGCATGGAAGAGGATCTGAGACTGGGGAAGCGTGGGGTTTTACTACTCCCATAGACTAGACCTTGCATAAGCTACAAGATCGCCCCCATGAGAGAAACAGGCCAGAGAAGCCACTGAGTCTAGCAGAGACCCCTCCCGGGCTGGCGAAGGACTGAATCCTTTAAGGCGTGTTGAAAGTGAATAGTGAGAAATGGGGGTTGCGGAGAAGGTTGTTCAGGGTGTACAATGACTGACTACACAAGGAGGAGGGCTGATGTAGAAATCCAGCCTGCTCTGCTCACCACCCCGTCCCTTGGTGCAAAGGAAGTCTTGACCTTTGTACAACAGGAGCCGCAGGCTGTGTCCACCCAGAGATGCAACTTCCTCTCTCAGTACAAAGGCCGAACATAGCTTAGGGGTGCGCCTGTTGAGATAAAAAACAAATTTACTTTTTCTTATTTAACCTCACTAGGTTCATTCAATAATATGATCACACACACACACACTTCCCATATGATTTATGATTTTATATGATTTTATCCATCCTAAAGACATCTATGGACCCTGTGTTACGAAACTCTGGATAATGTTTCCTCTTTGTTCTTACCTAACTCAGAGGACACAATTTTCAACATGCTGAGGTTTATTCCTGATCTAGGATTTCCTGAAAAAGATGACGATTTGGGATCTGCTGAGAGCAGTGAGGAGTGATAACAGGTGGTAGAATGAGCATGAAAACACATAGACATGGAAAAGAAGCACTCAAAGCACTTACTAACTTAGCGAGAGACGAAATTTAGGAAAACAGAGACAGAGATCACCACTGGGTACAGCAAAGGGCACGGCAAAGTCACCAAGGTCCAGAGTTCACAGCAATGGCTGTGAGCTACACGTGCACACACACACAGGCACACACACATACACACAGGCACACGCACAGGCACACACAGGCCCACCCAGAGGCACACACACAGGTACACACACATGCACACACACAGGCACATACAGAGGCACACACACATGCACACACACAAGCACACACACAGGCACACGCACATGCACATGCACAGACACACACAGGCACATACATGTGCACACATGGCGACACACAGGCACACACACATGCACACACAGAGGCACACACACAGGCACACACAGAGGCGCACACACACAAGCACATGCACAGGCACATATGCAGGCACACACACAAGTACATGCACAGGCACACACACAAGCGCACACATGCACACGCACATGCACACACAGAGGTACATGCACATGCACACACGGCACATGCACAGGCACACACAGGTACATGCACATGCACACACACAGGCACACAAGCACAAACAGGCACACACACATGCACACACAGGCACACCCAGAGGCACATACACAGGTACATGCACAGGCACATGCACATGTGCATGCACGGACACACACAGGCACACGGAGGCACACACACGTGCACACACAGGCACACACACATTCACACACAGAGGCACACACGCAGGCACATGCACACAGAGGCACACATCTATTCGCTCACATACTTGCTTTACTCTGCTTAAATTGGTTTTTGGTCCTATCCCCATTTATAAGGATGAAAAGGGGGTTTAATGCTTAAAAAGGCTTGAGCTTTGGTCATGTAACAGGAACCATGCATTTTCAATAATACCGGATGCATGCTATTTTCTAGTATCATCTGACAACAGCAAAAGTTTTGCTCTTCTAATAATTACGGCACTTTGGATCAACAGTTTCTCTCTCTCTCTCTCTCTCTCTCTGTCTCTCTCACTCCCTCTGATAGGGTTTGGCTGTGTCCCCACCCATATCTCACCTTGAATTCTAGCTCCCGTAATTCCCACGTGTTGTGGGTGGGACCTGGTGGGAGATAAGTGAAACATGGGGGTGGTTTCCTTCATACTGCTCTCGTGATAGTGAAAAAGCCTCACGAGAACTGATGGTTTTATAAGGGGAAAACCATTATAAAATGTTTGTTTGGCTGTCTGATTCTGTCTTGCCACAGCCATGTAAGATGTGCCTTTTGCTTTCCACCATGACTGTGAGACCTCCCAAGCCACATGGAACTGTGAATCCATTAAACCTCTTTTACTTTATAAATTACCCAGTTTCTGGTATGTCTTTAGCAGCAGCATGAAAACAGACTAATACACCCTCTCTCTTTTCCATTTTCTTTTCCATTCACCTTGTCGGTGGCTGTCATGAAGAAAGACATTCAGCTGGACTCACCACGCATTATAGCCTGCTCAAGAAGTCACAAATAAAACCCAGGCTGAGGCAGCAAACACTAAAAGGGAAACATTCCTTGCTTCCTGAGGGCAGGCTTTGTGGGACAAAGATGCACCCCTCCCCCTAGGGATTGCAAGTAAACCCAATGTGTCAAGAGACTTAAACCCACAGTTTGCGCTGGTTGAATTATTTTGGAGCAGATTCCACCCATCGTGGCACTGGGGTCACCATGGCGTCCCTCCAGTTTAGAGAAAGACGTGTTTAGAATCTCCTTAAGGGTGCTGATGGCATTAAGGGTCTAAAGACATTTCAGAACAACTTTATAAATTCAAACACACACAAAAAACGAAACAAAACAAAACAAAAAGCATCTAGGAATAGAAGCAACAGAGAGGAATTGGAATTTTACCAAAAAGATTGTCTGTGGTAGAGACACCCATCTAGAAGGTAAATCCCAGACACTTTTTTAAGAACAAGATCAGTAATAACTTCATGGAAACCTCAAAAGAAAATTCAGCCTGGGGGATAGAAGCATATCAAAGTTTAAATCCAATAGACTTGTGTAATCGCAAGCTACAGGCAGTTGTGGGATAGGGAGAGACCCACTATCGCAATTGTTAAAATACTGTGGAATTTATTGCAACATGCCCTGCTGCTACTAAAAACTAGAAGAATGAGGAGAAAAGCTGGAAGGTTTTATATAGAGGTCTTAAAAATCCATCTTAAAAAAATGAAACTTTTAGCCAAACATCCAGATGGTTGCTCCCAATTTACCATTCCAGCTCGAGAATATTTACAAATGCCCAGATGTGCGACTGCTGAAACGCTGCCAGCTCTGGTTTCCTCCGCCTTCTGCGAATTACTCATCTCATGCTCTACTCAAGTCCTTAGAGTGGTGGCAATTAATCTCTTTGTGTGAGATCTCGTGAGCTCAGTTATCTGAGCTTAACCCTCGTTTTTCAGGGAACAAGATAGCAATCACTGTAAATTTAAGATAAAATTTGAGTTTCTAAGAAAGTATAAAAGGCAACTTTTAGGAAAATAAAAGTGAGGTTATAGCTTTAGAGAAAGGGTGAAGTTGTTAGACTGAAACAATATGTGTCTTTAGAAAATGCAAATAGAGGATTATAATTTTAAAAGATGGCTGATTTATCATCCACAAAGGTGAATTCATCATATTTAGAGTACCATTTCCCCTTTTTGTTCTCTCTTTCTCTTTTCTTCTCTCTCACATAGACCAAACACCGCAAAGCAGAGAAAGGGAGGAGTAGAAACTTTCCTTGTAATGTTTCTTTTCAACTTGTCCAACACGTTTTGTGCTTATTTAGTGTAAAACTTGTAAAACATACCAAAAACCTATCATTTGGCAGATATATCATTTTCCACGAGTTGAGTGAGTGTTTAACATAGTTACTGAGCTAGTATTGCAAAGAGGATGGAAGTCTACAGAAATCATTTGAATTGGACAGGTAAAAGATCCCCTTATTAGAAATTAGAGGCCATGTAGAGAGAAGAAAATATTAAAGCAGAGATGAAGACCTAGGGATATAATCAAAATATATTACGATGCAGAAACCACTTTAAAAACAAAATAACTTAAAAGAGGAGAAAATGCTTATATCTAAGTAGAGAAATGTGAGTGTGATGGTTGCTTTTATGTGTCAGCTTGGTTGGGCCATAAGATGCCCAGATATCAGGTTGATATGGTTTGGATCTGTGTCTCCACCCAAATCTGATGTTGAATTACTATTTCCAATGTGGGAGGTAGGACCTGGTGGGAGGTGACTGGCTCATGGGAGTGGATGGAGTCTTCATGAATGGTTTAGCACCATCCCCCATTGGTACTGTCCAATGAGTGACTTCTAACCAGATTTGGTTGTTGCAAAGTGTGTGGCACCTCCCCCATCTCACTCTTCCTCCCACTCTGCTCATATGAGATGTCCCTGCTTCCCCTTTGCCTTCACCAAGATTAAAAGTGTCTTGAGGCCTCCCCAGAAGCTGCCATGCTTCCTGTACAACCTGTGGAACTGTGAGACAATTAAACCACTTTTCTTTATAAATAACCCAGTCTCAGGTATTTCTTTACAATAGTGTGAGAATGGACTAATGCATTGGTTAAGCATTATTCTTCGTGTGTTGGTGAGGGTGTTTCTAGAAGAAACTAGAATGTGAATTGGTGAACTAAGTAGATATTCTCCTCATGGTGGGTGGACATGGTCCAATACACAGAGGGCCTACATTGGAAAAAAGGCAGAGGGAAATTGAATTAACTTCACCTGATGCTTAAGGTGGGGCATTAATCTTCTGCCCTCTATGCTCCTGGTTCCCAGACCTCCAGACTCAGACTTCAATCTACACAATCAGCTTCTGGCTCTCAGGGATTCAAACTATACCCCCAGCTTTCTTGGGTCTCCAGCTTGTAAAGAGCAGACTGTACACACACACACACACACACACACACACACACACACCCTATTGGTTCTGCTTCTGTAGAGAACCATGACTAATACCATGGAAAATGGTTGGGGAATTGTTTATATAACAAGCCTTATTGGGTTGTTAGAATCTGTACTAATTGCCCAACTTTGATGTTTTTAATGCAATTATCCTTGCCATTTTTTTTCCTTTTCAGGTTTTCTTTTTAAAAATTTACATTTTCACATTAACATGGTGAGAGTGCCTCATGACATGTTAAAATATTTGATATTCCTTTCAAGTAGTCTGACTTATAGTTCAAATAATCTGTTATCCATGAGTTTACCACCTATTCTACACATTTACAGCAATATAAATCATGTTGCATGTTCTTTTTTTTTTTTTTTTTTTTTTTTTTTTTTACATTTACAGTAATATAAATTGCGTTGTATGTTCTTTTTTTTTTTTTTTTTGAGACGGAGTCTTGCTCTGTCGCCCAGGCTGGGATGCAGTGGCCGGATCTCAGCTCACTGCAAGCTCCACCTCCCAGGTTCACGCCATTCTCCTGCCTCAGCCTCCCGAGTAGCTGGGACTACAGGCGCCCGCCACCTCGCCCGGCTAGTTTTTTGTATTTTTAGTAGAGACGGCGTTTCACCATGTTAGCCAGGATGGTCTCGATCTCCTGACCTCGTGATCCGCCCGTCTCGGCCTCCCAAAGTGCTGGCATGTTCTTAAGTAACTCATAGATTCGCTGGA